AGACCCAAATCAATAAAATCAGAGATGAAAAAGGAAATGTAACAACAGACACCACAGAAATAAAAAGAATCATCAGAAATTACTACAAGGACTTGTATGCCAGCAAACAGGGAAACCTATCAGAAATGGATAGATTCCTGGACACATGCAACCTACCTAAATTGAACCAGGAAGACATCGAAAACCTAAACAGACCCATAACTGAGACAGAAATTGAAACAGTAATAAAGGCCCTCCCAACAAAGAAAAGCCCAGGACCAGATGGATTCACTGCTGAATTCTACCAGACATTTAAAGAAGAACTAACTCCAATTCTTCTCAAACTATTCAGAACAATCGAAGAAGAGGGAATCCTCCCAAATTCTTTCTATGAAGCCAGCATCACCTTAATTCCTAAGCCAGAAAAAGATGCAGCACTGAAAGAGAATTACAGACCAATATCCCTGATGAACATAGATGCAAAAATCCTCAATAAAATTCTCGCCAATAGAATGCAACAACACATCAGAAAGATCATCCACCCAGACCAAGTGGGATTTATCCCTGGTATGCAGGGATGGTTTAATGTGCGCAAGACAATCAATGTGATACACCACATTAACAGACTGCAGAAGAAAAACCATATGATTATCTCAATAGATGCCGAGAAAGCATTTGATAAAATACAACACCCGTTCATGATGAAAACTCTAAGCAAACTGGGTTTGGAAGGGACATTCCTCAATACAATCAAAGCAATCTATGAAAAACCCACAGCCAACATCCTATTGAATGGGGAAAAGTTGGAAGCATTTCCACTGAGATCTGGGACCAGACAGGGATGTCCACTCTCACCACTGCTATTCAATATAGTTCTGGAGGTTCTAGCCAGAGCTATTAGGCAAGAAAAAGAAATTAAAGGGATACAAATTGGGAAGGAAGAACTCAAACTATCCCTCTTTGCAGATGACATGATTCTTTATTTAGGGGACCCAAAGAACTCTACTAAGAGACTATTGGAACTCATAGAAGAGTTTGGCAAAGTAGCAGGGTATAAAATCAATGCACAAAAATCAACAGCCTTTGTATACACAGACAATGCCATGGCTGAGGAAGAACTTCTAAGATCAATCCCATTCACAATAGCTACAAAAACAATCAAATACCTTGGAATAAACTTAACCAAGGACGTTAAAGATCTCTACGATGAAAATTACAAAACCTTAAAGAAAGAAATAGAAGAGGATACCAAGAAATGGAAAAATCTTCCATGCTCATGGATTGGAAGAATCAATATCATCAAAATGTCCATTCTCCCAAAAGAAATTTACAGATTCAATGCAATACCAATCAAGATACCGAAGACCTTCTTCTCAGATCTGGAAAAATTGGTGCTGAAATTTATATGGAGGCACAAGAGACCTCGAATAGCTAAAGCAATCTTGTACAACAAAAACAAAGCCGGAGGCATCACAATACCAGATTTCAGGACATACTACAGGGCAGTTGTAATCAAAACAGCATGGTACTGGTACAGAAACAGATGGATAGACAATGGAACAGAATTGAAACACCAGAAATCAACCCAAACATCTACAGCCAACTTATATTTGATCAAGGATCTAAAACTAATTCCTGGAGCAAGGACAGTCTATTCAATAAATGGTGCTGGGAAAACTGGATTTCCATGTGCAGAAGCATGAAGCAAGACCCCTACCTTACACCTTACACAAAAATCCACTCAACATGGATTAAAGACCTAAATCTATGACCTGACACCATCAAGTTACTAGAGAACATTAGAGAAACCCTTCAAGATATTGGCACAGGCAAAGAATTTCTGGAAAAGACCCGGGAGGCACAGGCAGTCAAAGCCAAAATCAACTATTGGGATTGCATCAAATTGAGAAGTTTCTGTACTGCAAAAGAAACAGTCAGGAGAGTGAAGAGACAACCGACAGAATGGGAAAAAATATTTGCAAACTATGCAACAGATAAAGGGTTAATAACCAGAATCTACAAAGAGATCAAGAAACTCCACAAAAAGAAAACCAACAACCCAATTAAGAGATGGGCCAAGGACCTCAATAGACATTTTTCAAAAGAGGAAATCCAAATGGCCAACAGGCACATGAAAAAATGTTCAAGGTCATTAGCAATCAGGGAAATGCAAATCAAAACCACAATGAGGTTTCACCTCACCCCGGTTAGAATGGCTCACATTCAGAAATCTACCAACAACAGATGCTGGCGAGGATGTGGGGAAAAAGGGACACTAACCCACTGTTGGTGGGAATGCAAACTGGTCAAGCCACTATGGAAGTCAGTCTGGAGATTCCTCAGAAACCTGAAGATAACCCTACCATTCGACCCAGCCATCCCACTCCTTGGAATTTACCCAAAGGAATTTAAATTGGCAAACAAAAAAGCGGTCTGCAGCCTAATGTTTATTGCAGCTCAATTCACAATAGCTAAGACCTGGAACCGACCTAAATGCCCATCAACGGTAGACTGGATAAAGAAATTATGGGATATGTACTCTTTAGAATACTATACCACAGTAAGAAACAACGAAATCCAGTCATTTGCAACAAAATGGAGGAATCTGGAACACATCATGCAGAGTGAAATAAGCCAGTCCCAAAGGGACAAATATCATATGTTCTCCCTGATCGGTGACAACTGACTGAACACCAAAAAGGAAACCTGTTGAAGTGAAACGGACACTATGGGAAACGGTGACTTGATCAGCATAGCCCTGACTGTTAATGAACAACTTAATACATTATCCCTCTTAGTAGTTTTTTTGTCTGTTCTACTTAATATGACTGGTTTAATTCTGTAATTAATACACAGTTATTCTTAAGTGTTGAAAATTAACTGAAATGTGATCCCTGTTAAACATAAGAGTGGGAATAAGAGAGGGAAGAGATGTATAATTTGGGACATGCTCAAGCTGACTTGCCCCAAATGGTAGAGTTAAAAACATACCAGGGGATTCCAATTCAATCCCATCAGGGTGGCATGTACCAATGCCATCTCACTATTCCAAGTGATCAATTTCAGTTCACAATTGATCATGATGAAAGGACTAAGAGTCAAAGGGAGCACATAAACATGTCTAATACCTGCTAACACTAACTGATGGAATAAATAAAGGGGAGAGTGACCCAACATGGGAAGTGAGATACTCAGCAGACTCATAGAATGGCAGATGTCCTAAATAGCACTCTGGCCTCAGAATCAGCCCTAAAGGCATTCGGATCTGGCTGAAAAGCCCATGAGAGTATTTCAGGCATGGAAAGCCAAGACACTCTGGCAAAAGATCTCTGCAAGTAAGATCCCAGTGGAAAGAACAGGTCTTCAAAGAAGGAGGTACCTTTCTCTGAAGGGAGGAGAGAACCTCCACTTTGACTATGAGCTTGTCTAAACAAGATAAGAATCGGAGAACTCAGAGGGCGTCCATAGCCTTGGAAACTCATGACTGGAGCATAGGGAGATTACTGATGCCATAGACAGGAGTGTCAATTGGTAAAGTCAACAGCAGGAGTCACTGTGCACTTGCTCCTCATGTAGGATCTCTGTCCTTAATGTGCTGTGTATTGAGATTTAATGCTATAACGAGTACTCAAACAATATATTTCACTTTGTGTTTCTATGGGGGTGCAAACTGTTGAAATCTTTACTTAGTGTATACTAAACTGATCCTCTGCAAAAAAAAAAAAAAAAGAAAAAAGAAATTATCAACTCCCAACTTGACTCTCACTGGGATTAAACATGACAATAGGTCTGATCTGATTTCATCATCATTTAAAAAAAATCATCTAAGGCCGGCGCCGTGGCTCAATAGGCTAATCCTCCACCTTGCGGCGCCGGCACACCGGGTTCTAGTCCCGGTCGGGGCGCCGGATTCTGTCCCGGTTGCCCCTCTTCCAGGCCAGCTCTCTGCTATGGCCAGGGAGTGCAGTGGAGGATGGCCCAGGTGCTTGGGCCCTGCACCCCATGGGAGACCAGGAAAAGCACCTGGATCCTGGCTCCTGCCATCGGATCAGCGCAGTGCGCCGGCTGCAGCGGCGGCCATTGGAGGGTGAACCAACGGCAAAGGAAGACCTTTCTCTCTGTCTCTCTCTCTCACTGTCCACTCTGCCTGTCAAAAAAAAAAAAATAAAATAAAAATAAAAAATAAAAAAAATCATCTATTATTTTTCACTTTATGTTTCTGTGTGGGAGCAAACTGTTGAAATCCTTACTTAATGTATACTAAGCTGATCTTCTGTATATTAAGATAATCGAAAATGAATCTTGATGTGAATGGAGGGGGAGAGGGAGTGGGAGAGGGGAGGGTAGTGGGTGGGAGGGACGGTATGTGGGGGAAGCCATTGTAATCCATAAATCGTACTTTGGAAATTTATATTCATTAAATAAAAGTTAAAAAAAAGAATATGTAAAATCAAGCACCCACCTTTCAGCCACGTGAATATTTCAGCCCTTGTCTGGGCCTAGCATTTCTACATCCCTGTGCATACAGAGCTCTGAGTTTCCATCTCCCACTCATTCAGATGGCCTTGGGCACAATCTTTTCTCACTGCTTCTAGGGCTGTGCTGGGTCTCAAGGGGCATCCAAGTGCAGGAAAAGCAACCACATGGGTAGTGATGTTGTTGAGTCTTCTGGAAAGACAAGCTTCTTCATGGCAAATTCCCTGAAGACCCTGATTGAAAAGTAACTGCCACAGGGCCAGCACTGTGGTGTAGCAGGTAAAGCCACCGCCTGCAGTGCTGGCATCCCATATGGACACTGGTTCAAGTCCTGGCTGCTCCACTTCCGATCCAGCTCTCTGCTATCGCCTGGGAAAGCAGTGAAAGATGACCCAAGTCCTTGGGCCCCTGCACCCGCATGGGAGACCCAGAAGAGGCTCCTTGCTCCTGGCTTCAGATCAGCTCAGCTCTGTCTGTTGCAGCCATCTAGGGAGTGAACCAGCACATGGCTCGCTCTCTCTCTCTCTCTCTCTCTCCCTCTCTCTCTCCCTCTGCCTCTCCCTCTGCCTCTCCCTCTGCCTCTCTGTAACTCTGCCTTTCAAAAAAAAAATAAATCTTTAAAAAAAAAAAAGTGATTGCCACAGAAGCAGCCAGATGAGGCATGAACGCTAGCTGAACCATGCCTGGGGAAAGGCTGGCCGAAGCACAGTCTGTGTCCTCAAGTGTTAATAGAATCTCCTTGTTGTGCTTTTGAGGAAGCTAAGTTAGAGGACCGATGACTTGCCCGAAGCCACACATCTTGTTAGTGGTAGAATCAGGTCTAGAATCCAGGACTGGTGTTCGTTTGGGCTTTATCAGGGACTGTCAGTGCTCTACTCACTTTGTTCAAACCCTGTCATCTTTTTAGGTGCTCCAAAATGCTGCAGCCAGCTGCCAGCATCCACATGTCTCTGTGCCCAAAGGCTTTTCTGGGGTTATGGAATGCTTCTCTGTTCACCTGCCTGGCAGACCAGAAGTGCCTGGCAGCATCCTCAGCCAATGACTGACAGGACAAGTGAGCAAGTAAACCAGCCTCTGCACCCACTGGGGAGGATCCTTCTGCAATTTAGCTTCTCTTTTGCAACATTTCCCTGCAATCTTCCCTGGCCTCTTGAGTGAAATGTTTGTGCTTGAGTCTTTATTCCTAAGAATACCAAATACGTGGGCAACAAGCATGAAAGGACACAAACGGGACCATGTCAAGCTTTAAAACTTCTGCACAGGGGCTGGCACTGTGACTCACTTGGTTAATTCTCCGCCTGCAGTGCCAGCATCCTATATGGGCGCTGGGTTCTACCCAGTTGTTCCTCTTCCAGTCCAGCTCTCTGCTATGGCCCGGAAGGCAGTGGAGAATGGCCCAAGTGCTTAAGTGCTTGGGCCCCTGCACCTGCATGGGAGACCAGGAGGAAGCACCTGGCTCCTGGCTTCGGATCGGCATAGCTCTGGCCGTAGCGGCCATTTGGGGAGTGAACCAATGGAAAAAAAGACCTTTCTCTCTGTCTCTCTCTCACTGTCTGTCAAATAAAAAAAAAAAATTCTGCACAGCGAGGAAACAATCAACACAATGAAAAGGCTGTCTATGGAATGGGAAAAAATATTTGCAATCCATATATCTGTCAGAGGACTAATATCCAGTATATATAAAGAACCGCTACAACATAAAAGCAAGAAGAGCAAACAAGCAGATTTAAAATTGGGCAGGGGATTTGAATAAATATATCTCTAAAGAAGACATGAAAATTACTATAACCATATGAAAAGATGCTCACTTCACATCACAAATCATTGGGGAAATGCAAATCAAAACCATACCGGAATGTCATCTCACATCCATTAGGGTGGCCACTGTTAAAAAAAAAAAATCACAGAAAATACTAAGTATGAGCAAGAAGGAAGAGAAATTGGAGTTGTGCACTAGTGCTGTAAATATAAAATGTTGAAACCATTATGGAAAATAGCATTGAGGTTCCTCAAAAACAAAATTAAAATTAGAACTACTGTATGATCCACCAATCCCACTTTGGGTTGCGTACTTCCAAAAGAACTGAGAACAGCATCTCAGAGATATCTGCACTCCCAGTTTAACTGCTCACATTCACCAGAAGATAGAAACAACCCAATCCCCATGGATGGATAAACAGATAAAGAAAATGCAATGTACATATACCATCAGGTCGTATTTAGCCTTAAAAAGTAAGGAAAACATGTCACACACAAGTTATATGAACCTTGAGGACATTATTTCCAGTCATGTCACAGAAACACAAATACTGCATAATTCCACTTACATGAAGCACGTAAAGTCATCAAGCTCTTCACAACAGAAAGCAGAATGGAATTTTAGTTTTGGGGTGGTGTAGTGGCTATAACCACAGCCTGCATCACCTACATCCCATATAGGCGCTAGGGAGTCTCTGCTATGCCAGTCCTGATCCAGCTCCCAGCTAATGCACCTGAGAAAAGCAGTAGAAGATGGCTCAGGTGCATGGGCCCCAGCACTCATGTGGGAGACCTGGATGAAGCTCCTGGCTCCTAGCTTTGGCCTGGCCCAGTGTCGCTCCCCCTCTTTGCGGAGGAATGACACAGGACCCTGCGCTGTTCTTTCGTCTGCTCAGCCCTTCCCGGGTTTGCTGCTGGTTCTTCCCAGGTTGGCTGCCGTCCCTCCACCTCCGTGGAGGGGCGGGCCCCCCTGCCACTTTCCCCACTTCCGCAGGGGAGCAGCACACCGCCGGCCGGCTCTCTCGGGGGCTGTTCCTCAGGTGTTCCCCTTAGATGTTCCTGGTGCATGTTGTCTCTCTCCTCCTTTATAGTCCTCTTCCACCAATCCCAACACGCTGAGTACGCTGCTCTCCTCCAATCAGGAGCAGGTCCTACAGTTTATTGGTGGAACTGGAGGCAGCTGCGTAGAAGCTGTTTACTCCTCTCCCAGCACCATATTGTGGGAGAGCAGATGCATAGAATAAGTCTTAATTCGAGTAACTTAGTCTAGTCCGATTGCTCCCCACAGCCCAGATCTGGCAGTTGTGGCCATCTGGGGAGTGAACCAGTGGATGAATGATCCCTCTTTCTGTCTGTGTTCTCCTCTCTGTAACTCTGATTTTCAAACAAATAAATCTTTTTTTAAAAAAATCGGTTTTGCAAGATGAAAATGTCCCAGAGAGTAGCCATAAACAAAGTGCACTGTACACGTGAAAAAAAAAATGCTTGGGGGGGGGGGGGGCGGGCAGTGCTGCAGTGTACCAGGTAAAGCCGCTGCCTCCAGTGCCAACATCCCGTACGGGCGCTGGTTGAAGTCCCAGCTGCTCCACTTCCAATCCAGCTCTCTGCTAAGGCCTGGGAAAGCAGTAGAAGATGGCCTAAGTCCTTGAGTCCCTGCAACCGTGTGGGAGACCTAGATGAAGCTCCTGGCTCTTGGCTTCAGATTGGTGCATCTCTGGCTGCTGTGGTCATTTGAGGAATGAACCAGAGGAAAGGAAGACCTCTCCCTTTCTCTCTTTTTCTCTCTCTCTCTCTACCTCTCTACCTCTCTGTAGCTCTGCCTCTCAAGTAAATAAATAAATCTTCTGAAAAGGTGCTTTAGGATGGTAAATTTTATGCCATGTGATTTTATCAACACAACAAAACCATAATGAATTGAAAAACTTTTTTGTAAGAAACAATTAGAAAATAATAAGAGACCAGCAAAATGATCCCACTGGGAGGATTGCAGCCTCTGGCATTGGTAGACCCAGGCCTCATTCTGACTCCCAGCCACCGCCTGTTGACTAGGCCATTCCTTTGGCCTTTGGGTCCTCTCTGAGTGCAGGATTTGTCTGTTGAACACAGAGCTGCTGGAGGTTGTGATGGGACTCGGAGCCCATGCTGCTCACTTATGGGAACAGCAAAGGAAAGGGGGATTTGCCAGGTGGCCCCAGCACCTGGTAAGCAACTGAGTCTCTCTTCAGAGGGGAGGTGGCGAGAAGAGCCCACCCAGTTGGATCTATGCCATGCAAGGCGTGTGGTTTGCCTGGAGAACAAAGCTCTCTCCTGAACTCAACTCTGAGGACAGAGTCCCAAGACCAAGTTCCGTAGATCTCCTCCAGGAACAGGATGACTCCTCCCCAGCCTACTCCGCGCAAGCTAGTTGCCCTCCTGACAGCCTGAAGTGTACTGAGTGCTGGAGGGACTACTGCCCTGTGCCCATCTCAGAGCCCTGAGCAAGAGCAAAATCCTCTAAGTGCTAGCATCTCTGGCCCGAAGCTAGACAGATGACGAGTCAAACTCTCAGATGTTCATCACGAGGCTTCATCTGAACTAAGCCCCCTGGATCTGGTATAACATGATGGGCCATTCGGCAGGGGATGAGGCAGTGGGGAGCGTTGGACATTCTGGTTTCTAGGTTGCATCCTCTCCCTGGCTGGAGCCAGGTCACAGGGAATCAGGGCTGCAGTGCGTTTACGTGGATGGTGATGGGCTGCTACAGTCAGTCGTGGTAGGGTAGATCCCTCCTCTCTGCTGGAGAGAGAGGAGGCAGAGAAAGTTAAAACAGTTGGGAATAGACCCATTTGTATCACCAGCCCAGCAACCTTCACAAGAACTAAGGATTGGACTCCAAGGAGGGGAGCCCAGGACCCCAAGGAGGGCCAGTAAGAGCGGTCAGCGACACTCTGGAGGCTGGGCGGGAAGGGACACAGGGCAAGGTGAAGAGGCTGAGTGTGTCCTACACTGAGCCGTGCTGGTGGTGTCCAGCGGTGAGGACGCCACACAAGCACTGCTTACACCTGGGTCTGCACGAGGCTGGACGGAGCCAAGGGCCACCAGGAGTACATTTCCCGCCTTTCCCTCCAGGCTGTGCCTCCAGACTCCCTGGGGTCAGAGGTTGTCTTCTCTGTCACTGTGCATGCCCAGACCTTGGTCACAGTGCGCTGCTCAGATCCCTCCAGCTCTCCTCTCTGAGGCTGAAAGACAGGCCACTGTCTCCTGGGGGCTGGACTCAGCCCCTGCCCACTCCCCCATAAATCCTCCTGTTGTACTCACAGCCTTGAGAAGGGCTTGCACGTGTGAAGGTGAAAGCATTAATCCAAGGTCTACATAAGTGGGTCTTAATAAGCATGGCCTTGGGCTCCTTCTCATTGTGTGGCTCCACTGACCTAAGAACAATCATTTACGTGGCAGCAAAAGTGCCTGGAATCTGAAGCCTTATTTCGCTGATTTTGAAAATAAAAAAAGCACCCACAGGCTGTACCCATATGAAAATGCTGTTTCCCCTGATGAGCCACACCACACAAAGCAGGGGATTGAATCCTGTTCAGAGAATGTCTCGCTCAAAGATTCCCACTCTCCTGGGTGCAGCCAAGAGTGGACATAGGAGTGATGGGCAGGATGTGGATGCCGGCTTTCCCGCTGGGTCTATCCACAGACATCAGGTGTCCAGTGGCAGCTTGGAGATAAGACACAGTCATTAAAATTGATGGCAGCTGCTTTTGCCTTTCACAGGCAACGGGCTTTATCTATATCCCAGGACGAACCTTCCTGCTTCCCTTTGGCTGAGCACCAAGATAGTTCTTGTCCACAGTGTCTGTAAGCTAGATCACCAAGGGCGGAATTCAGAGAGTTCAGATGGGAGCCAGTACTGTTGGTTGCTGCCTGTGATGCCAGTATCCCATACAGACGCTGGTTCAAGTCCTGGCTGCTCCACTCCCAATCCAGCTCCCTACTAATGCACCTGGAAAAAACAACAGATATTGGGTTCTGAAACCACTTCAGAGTAGTGTCACCCAAATGATACAGTGTATATTTCTTAAAAATAAGGGAATAGTTAATAAGCTTGCTGTTTTGTATTGATTTATTTAGGTCTTCAATGATTTATTTCATCTGTATTTTATAAGTTTCAGCATCTAAGTCCCACAGACCTTTTGTTCAATTTACAAATATTTCATTTAATCATTTGAGCAGTTGTACTGGCATTACTCATATATATATTAACATGTTAGATTCTCAGGGTCACAGCAAATGCATGGCAATATGATTTTTAGCCTTCATTCTGTTGATGTGATATTATATTTATTGATTTGTGTATGTTGAATCATCCTTGCATCTCTGGAACAAATTCCATGTGGTCAGAGTGGTCTTTTGATGTGTTATTGAGTTTTATTGGCTAGTATTTTGTTGAGAACCCTTGTATCTGTGTGCATTTGTTCATTGGTGATACAATATTAGTTGATCATTTCCTTTTTTTTTTCTGTTTCTGTGTCTTTATGTGAGTTTGGAATCAGGGCAATGTGGTAGAATGAGTTTGTAAGGATTCCTTTCCTTTCCATATTTTGGAAGAGTTTGATAAGGATTCATGTTAGTCTTTCCCTGAAAGCTGATAGAATTCAACAGTGAAGCCATTTGGTTCTTGGCTTTTCTCGACAGTCTTTTTATTAACAATTCAATCTCATTATGCATTATTGGTTTGTTCAAACTTTCTGTGTCTTCATGATTCAATTCTGATGTTTTATGTGTCCAGAAATTTATCCATTTCTTCTCGATTTTCCAGTTTGTTGTCATATGATTGTTCATAGTTATCTCTATTGATCCTTTGTATCTGTGATATTAGTTGTAAATCTTTTTAATCCTATTTTAGTATTTGAGTCTTAGCTCTTTTCTTCTTAGCCTACCTAAAGGTTTATCAATTTTGTTTGTCTTTTCAAAAAACTGTTTCACTAATCTTTTGTATTATTTGCTTGATTTCTATTTCATTGGTTTTGCTCTAATTTTTATCATTTCTTTCTTTCTACTCACTTTGGATTTGGTTTGTTCTTATTTTTCTGGGTCCTAGAGATTAATCATTAGGTGGTTTGACATCTTTCTGATTTTTTATTATGATATTGGAGTCTCATGTCTATAAACTTCCCTCTTTGTACTGATTTTGCTATATCCCATAAGTTTTGGTAAATTGTGTTTCTATTTTCACCCATTTCAAGGGATTTTTAAATTTCCCTTTTGGTTTCTTCAATAACCCATTGTTCATTCAAGAGTATATTGCTCAACCTCCATGTATTTGTAAATTTCTAGTTTCTTTTGTTGCGATGTTTTTTTGTTTCTTTGTAGCCTGAAAAGATACATGATGTGTTTTCAATTTTTTTGTCAGCTGTCTAGAATCATTTTGTTGCCAAATACATAGTTTATCCTTGAGAATGCTGTGTGTGCTCATGAAAAGAATGCATCCTCTGCAGCTGTTGGAAGCACTGCTAGGCCCATTTGACCTTTTAGTATGGTTGAATTCTGATATTCCTTTGTTGATTTTTTTTGTCCTTTGTCTTTTTTCCATTGTCGAAGATAAGGTGTTAATGTCTCCTACTCTTTTCCTATTAGAGTTGATTTCTCTTCTTTTACATCAAATACTGTCAGATATTCATACAGCTACCCATGCTTGTTTTTGCTTGTATTTTCATGGAATATCTTCTTCCAACCTTTAACTTTTAGTGAAGTTTCTTCTAGGCAACATAGTGCTGGACTTTTTTATTTTTTTAATTTATTTGTTTAGTTGAAAGGCAAAATGAAAAAGAAGAAAAGACAGAGAGAAAGAGATCTTCTATCCACTTGTTCATTCTCTAAATGGCTGCAACAGCCAGGGCTAGGCCAGGCTGAAGCCAGGACCCTGGAACTAACATCTGGATATTCCATGAGAGTGGCAGGGGTCCAAGTACTTGGGCCATATTCTGCTGCTTCCCAAACACATTAGCAGGGAGCTGAATTAATGGAGTTAGTAGTTCAGTAGCCTGGGAACTCTAGACCCATCTGGTCGGTCCAAGGTAGCCACTCTTGACGTGTTGTAAAACAGATGGTTTTGAATGTCCAGCTTCCCTCTGTGTTTGAAAATTAAAGAAATAAAAAGCATACAAATTAGAAATGAAGAAGTCAAATTATTGCTGTATGCAGATAACATGATCCTTTATAGAGGGGAACCAAAAGACTCCACTAAGAGAATGTTGGAACTCATAGGAGAACTGGGCAAAGATGCAGGACATAAAATCAACACACAAAAATCAACAGAATCCATACATACCAACAATGCTCTGGCTAAGAAAGAACTTGCAAGATTACTCCCACTCACAATAGCTACAAAAAATTTAAACAACTTTAGATAAATGTAACCAAGGGTATGAAAGATCTCTATGATGAAAATTATGAAAAATTAATAAAAGAAATAGAAGAAGACACTAAAAGATGGAAAAATCTTCCATGTTGTTCTGGATTGGAACAATCAATATCATCAAAATGTCCAAAGTACCCAAAGCAATATACAGATTCAGTGTTATCACAATCAAAATTCCAAGGATAGTTTTTACAGAACTAGAAAAAATAATCCTACAATTCTTATGAAAATGCAAAACACCCTGAATAACCAAAGCAATCTCAAACAGTAAGAACAAAGCTGAAGACATCATAATACTAGATTTCAAGATAAGACCCCAGAAACACAAGCAATAACAGTAGAAATGAACAAACGGATTTACATCAAGCTATGGAGCTTTTGTATGGTAAAAGAAACACCAAAAAGTGAAGAGGCAACTGATAGAATGAGAGAAAATATTTGCAAACTACACATTTGATAAAGGGTTAATGTCCACAATATATAAGGAGTCCAAGAAACTCAACAACAGCAAAGCAAACAATCCTGTTAAGAAATGGACAAAAGACTTAAACAGGCATTTTTCAAAGGATTAAATACAACAATATCAAATAAGTGAATTATAATGAAGGAAGAAAGGTTCTATTCTAGATTTCTTATTGCACATTTTTTGTAAGTTTGAAATTATACACAAATAGGAGGCTGCCACTGTGGTGTAGCAGGTAAAGTCACCATGTGCACGGTCAACATCTCATATGAGCACCAGTTTGAGACTCCACTACTCTACTTTCTATTCATCTCTCTTCTATGTCCTGGGAAAGCAGTAGAAGATGGCCCAAGTGCCTGGGCCCTTGCACCTACGTGGGAGACCCAGAGGAAGCTTCTGGCTCCTGGCTTCAGGTCAGCTCAGCTCCAGCCACTGTAGTCATTCGGAGAGTGAACCAGCAGATGGAAGATGTCTCTTTCTGTCTCTGCCTCTGCCCTGTCTCTCTCTAACTCTGCCTTTCAAATAAATAAATCAGAAAAGAAATTATACACAAATAGTTAAAAATCGTACCTTAAAAAGGACATTTAAAAATCATATGACCACCTCAATAGATTCTGAAAAAAATCATTCAATAAAATTCAACACCAATTCACAATAAAAACCTTGAACAAGGGGCTAGTGCAGTGGCATAATGGGTAAAGCCGCCACCTGTAGTGCCAGCATCCCATATGGGCGCCGGTTCATATCCCCGGCTGTTCTACTTCTGATCCAGCTCTCTGCTATGGGAAAGTAGTAAAAGATGGTCCAAGTCCTTGGGCCCCTGCATGTGGGAGACCCGGAAGAGGCTCCTGGCTCCTGGTTTCAGATCAGCGCAGCTCCAGCTGTTGCAGCCAATTGGGAAGTGAACCAGCAGATGGAAGACCTCTCTCTCTGCCTCTCCTTCTCTCTCTGTGTAACTCTGCCTTTTGAATAAATAAATAAATCTTAAAAAAAAAAAAAACCTTGATCAAATTAGGCATAGAAGGAACACACTTCAGCATACTAACGGCTATAGATGATGAACTCACAGCCAGTATTATACCAAGTGGGGGAAAGCTGCAAGTACTTCCTCTAAGATCTGGAACCAGACAAAAATGTCCATCTTCACCACTCTTATTCCACACAATACGGAAAATGTTAGCCAGAGCTATTAGTCAAAAGAAACAAATAAAAGGCATACAGATAGGAAAGAAAGAAGTCAAACTATCCCTGTTTGCATATGACATGATTCCATATATAGAGAACCAAAACACTGCATCAAGAGACCATTAAAACTAAAAGACTTCACTAAGTTGCAGGATACAGGACCCAGGACTGTGGTGTAGCAGGTAAAACCGCTGCTTGCAGTGCCAGCATACCCTTTGGGCACTGGTTCCACTTCTGGCTGCTCCACTTCCAATCCATCTCTCTGTGATGGCCTGGGAAAGCAGTAGAGTATGGCCCAAGTCCTTGGGCCCCTGCACCCATGTGGGAGACCCGGAGGAAGCTCCTGGCTTCTGGCTTCTAATAGGCATAGGTCCGGCTGTTGCAACCAATTGGGGAGTGAACCACTGAATAGAAGACCTTGCTCTCTCTCTGCCTCTCCTTCTCTTACTGTGTAACTCTGACTTTCAAGTAAATAAACAAATGTTTTTTTTTTAAAAAAAAAAAAAAAGACTTCACCAAGTTGCAGGATACAAAAATCAATATTCAACATTAGCAAACTTATTCACAATAAAAAAGTCTTAGAATAAATTTAACTTTTACAATGAAAATTACAAAATACTTATGAAAGAAATTGAACAGGATACACACAAAGACAATGGAAAGACATCCCATGGATTAGAAGATTTAAATTGTTAAAATGTCTATAGTACCCAAAGTGGATTTTTGATTTATTACAATCTTCATCAAAATACTAATTACATCCTATACAAAAATAAAAAAAAACTAAAATTCATACAGAAACAAAAAGGATCCCAAATAGCCAAAGCAGTTTTGAACAATAAGAACGAAGCTGGAGGCATCACAATACCAGATTTCAAGTCATACTATAGACCTATTTTAATCAAAACCGCATGGCACTGGCATAAAAACACAAAGACCAGTGAAATAGAATAGAGTCCCCAGAAATGAATCCACACATCAACAGCCCAATTATCTTTAACAAAGGAGCTTAAAACATACCATGAAAAAAAGATAGTCTCTTGAATAAATGGTGGTGGGAAAATCAGATAGTCATATGCAGAAGATTGAGACAAGACCATCGCTTCTCGGCCTTTTGGCTAAGATTGAGTGAGGAGACAAGACCCTCTTCCTTCTATACTTCACACTATACAAAAATTGCCTCAAAATAGATCAAAGATACAATCTAAGACTTGAAACTATGAAGCTATTAGAAGAAAACATAGAGGAAACACTTAATGACATTGCAATAGGCATGGGTAGCAAGAACAAAAATAGACAACGAGATTGCATCAAGACAAGAAGCTTCTCCTTCCTTGTAATCAACAGAGAAGACAACCAACCACAGGGGAGGAAGTATGTGTAGGCTATTCATCTGGCAAAGGATAAATGTTCAGAACACACAAGGAACTCAGAAGAGTCACCAAGCCAGTTTAGAAATGGAAAAAGGATCAGGACAGACGTTTCTCATACGAAGAAATACAGATGCTCATCATCACTCACCATCAGGGAAATGCAGACCAAAACCACCATGAGGGTCATCTCACTCCAACTAGAATGACTATGATCAAAAAGACAAAAAACAGCAAATGCTGGCATGGATGTGAAGAAAGAGGAATCCTTTTACACTGGAAATGCAAAATAGTACAGCCATTTTGGAGAAAGATACAGTTTCCACACACAAAAAAAAAGCTAAACATAGATTATAACCCAGCTATCTCACTTCTGGATGTATATATCCAGGGTAAGTGATATTGGCATATGAAAGACATACCTGCAGTCCCATGTTTGTTGCAGTAGTGTTCACAATAGCCAATACACGGCATCAACCTAGATGTCTATCAGTGGATGACTGGATAAAGCAAATGTGGTATGTATGCATAACAATGGAATACTACTCTGCCAGAAGAAAGAGTACTATTCTGACATTTGCAGCAAAATGAATGGAAATGGAAATCCCTGTGTTACATGAAATAATCCACACACAGAACGACAAATATTGCATGTTCCCTCTACATACGGAAGTTAAAGATTATTTATAAAGGGACTGGCACTGTGGCATAGCAGGTAAAGCCACCACCTGAGTGCCAGCATCCCATATAGGCACCAGTTCGGGTCCCAGCTGCTCCACTTCTGATCCAACTGTCTGCTATGGCCTGGGAAAGCAGTAAAAGCATCACATGGGAGACCTGAAAGAAGCTCCTGGCTCCTGGCTTTGGATCAGTGCAGCCCTGGCCATTGTGGCCACTTGGGGAGTGAACCAGCAGATAGAGGACTGACTCCCTCTCTCTCTCTCTCTCTCTCTCTCTCTGCCTCTGTGTAACTCTGCCTTTCAAATAAATAAATCTTTTTTAAAAAAATGATTATATAAAAAGCCTCACACGGATATCACCAGCTTCAGCAATTATCAATTCAAAGCCAATCAGACTTTTAAATAGTGATTATTAGAGGCTGGGAAAGGTGGAAAAAAGGGGAGATAATGGGTACCAAGATACAATAGGGTAGACAGAACACAACATAAAGTTTTGCAGCACAACGAGATGACAATGGCTCACAATGATGTATTTTGTCCTGTGTAATGAACGGAAATCGATGAACTGGAAGGCTCTAAGCACAAAAGAAAAAACAAGGAAATGAAAAGGCGGATTGTCTGGCATGTTCGGCTTAACCTATGTATAGATGTTGAAAAGCCATCTTGCACTGCTGAAAAATGTGTTACTTGTTAGCATTACATGTTACTCTGAAACTGAAAAATGCTATCTGTTACTCCAAAATTGAAAAATAAGTTGTAAAAAGAGAAAAGGAGAATGAGTCTAATATTCAGTATTAGATTAACCATTATATAGGAGCCGGTGCTATGGCACAGCAGGTAAAGCCACTGCCAGCAGTGCCAGCATCCCGTATGGATGCTGGTTCGAGTTCCAGCTGCTCCACTTCTGATCCAGCTCTCTGCTATGGCCTGGGAAAGCAGTAGAAGACAGCCCAAGTCCTTGGGCCCCTGTGCCTGCTTGGGAGTCCCGGAAGAAGCTCCTGGCTCCTGGCTT